GACAGTGGCTCCTGAAGACGCCGCAGTCCCACGTTAAAGTAAGGGCAGGGCGGTCACAGACACATGGAAAATCCACGGGGGCCGCGACCACCACAGAAAGTACACATTAGAGAATTGTATGTACTGTCCTTTGGTCTATAGTTTTTTCTCTTGTTTTTTTAGACGGAGTCTCCCTTTGTCGCCCAGGCTGGAGTGCAATGGCCCAATCTCGGCTCACTGCAACCTCCGCCTCCCGGGTTCAAGCAATTCTCTGCCTCAGCCTCCCGAGTAGCTGGGATTACAGGCGCCCACCACCACGCCCGGCTAATTTTTGTATTTTTAGTAGAGAAGGGGTTTCACCATCTTGGCCAGGTTGCTCTTGAACTCCTGACCTCATGATCCACAAGCCTCGACCTCCCAAAGTGTTGGGATCACAGGGGTGAGCCACTGCGCCCAGCCAAAACATATATTAATAAAAACAAACAATTCAGGTCCCCTAGTTCACCCATGACTTCGACACAATCACCCCTCCGGGATGGGGGCGGCACTTACACAAGGGGGTGGGGGTGGGGGGACTAGGAGACACTCTTTGCAGCCTCTGACTGATTCTGTGGGAGCCCTAAGCCCTAAAAGAGGGTTTTCTGACATTGGGCCACTGGGAAGTATCTATACTGGTGCTCGCAGCAATTCCTTCTTATATTGCTTTAATCTGGGCTTGAACAACAGTGAACATTTTATGTTCATTCATTCCCTCCCCTTGCCAGAACTGCCACCTTTGCCCTGCTTTGGGACCAAAGCCGCAGGCCCCTCCAGAGGTACGTTAAACAACAGCTGACGCTTATTGAGGGCTGACCTAGTGCTAAGAACTTGGCACACACTGAATCATTCAGCCCTGAGAGCACCGTATAAAGGGGGTATTCGTGTTACCACAATTATATTAATGAGAAAATGGAGACTTGCCTGATATTCTAAACCTAGAAAAAAGCAGAAAACGGATTGAAACGTTAGAAATGTGACTTCAAACACCTCGAGACTCCTGTGCTGAGCTGCTACCCTCTGCCAGTGCGTGTCTCCAAAACCTTGGGACTGCTTGGAGAAAATTAATATGGCAGACATTCACTTTTTAGTTAATTTAAACCCACATTTTTTTGGCGGGGGGAAGATATCACTGTCAAAGTGATATCTTACAAATGTGCACAAATGGCACAATGAGGTCAGCTGTGTGTGTTCGGGACCTACAGAAATCAGCAAGCTACTTTCAAGGAAAAGTCTCACACAGAAGGCTCTCTGGCTGGGCTGCTTGATTTGTAGGTGAGGAATGGGGTGATCTCTTGCACAGAAGTAGAGCAGTGGAGACTGCAAATCATGCCAAGGGCCTGACTGTACTCATTGCCAGGTTGGAACTGAAACTGTGCCCCAAAGAGTTAAAGAAACCAGTAACTAACCAGGAAAACCAGAAATTCTTGAGCTTGCAGGGTGGCAGGTAAGAAAAGAAACAGCCTGCTGAAACGCTCATGAGATAAAACTTGCCGAAGTCCATTGGAACCAATATGGCCAACTAGAGTCTGCACAGAATGAGGCTGGCGACACAACAGCCTCATTCCATCAAATGTTCCATACTAACTCCCCCCAGATGTGCACATGTGACCCATGGAGTAACACGAAGAGATAACTGCCCATGTCCAGGGCCTTCCCAGACCTCCCCTTTCCTTCTACCAGTCACCTCCTAACCTCAGAAACCAGCCCCTGAAACGTTCCTATTAAAAGTACTGTCTTGAAGCCAGCACAGGGAGACAGATTTGAGCTTGACTTCCAAGGTACACTTTTCCAAGAACAGGACCATGCACCCATTACCTCAGGCCCTAAACAAGGTCACATCCACGCACAACCTGGAAGGAAGCACCTCAAGGTCTGTCCCCCAGGAGGTGCACTGAAGAGGTTGCAGGATCTGTAATATCTGCATTGCAAGAGCCTGGGGGCATGCATGGGAATTTATTTTAAGGGTGTTAGAACCAGGAAGGACCAACTTTAAAGCTGATGTGACTACATTTATATATAAAGGGATTAAACAGCACTGGAATCTTGAAAACTAAAGCAAACTATCGCAGGGACAGAAAACCAAACACCACATGTTCTCACTCATAGGTGGGAATTGAACAATGAGATCACTTGGACACAGGGTGGGCAACCTCACACACTGGGGCCTGTTGTGGGGTGGGTGGAGGCGGGAGGGATAGCATTAGGAGATACACCTCATGTAAATGACGAGTTAATGGGTGCAGCACACCAACATGGCACATGTATACATATGTAACAAACCTGCACGTTGTGCACATGTACCCTAGAACTTAAAGTATAACAAATTTGAAAAAAAGAAAACCTTTGTTTTCAAGATTATGATGAACTGTCTGTTCAGGTAAAGGGACTGCTGAAACCTGGATTTCCAGTTGCCTACAGCCAAAGAAAATGAGGTGCCAATCCCTCAGATGCACTGTAAGGGGGAAAGGCTAAGTCCGTGGAAAAGGGGGATGTCAGAGTGGGCTTCCCATGTGCAACTCATTTGAACATAGGTCGGGGACTCAGGAGTATCCCCCACCCCCACCTGGAGTCTGAGAAAGGCATTCACAGGCGAGTCCCAGCAACCACCAGAGCTCTGTAGCAGGTGATGCCACCATGGGAGGGGCCACCGTGAACCTGGGATCTGTGGTTCCAGCGGGAATCATCCAATCCGAGATTGCAGGGCCAGGCTGCATGACCTGACCTTCAATGACTATCATAAGCCCTAGGGACCGAGGAGAGCAGAGCGTGTTTACCCAGAGGCATGAGCGCTGTGGCTCTGACGTGGCCCCATTCCCTAGACACTAGCTATCTGCCCGGCTGCAGTTTCATTGCACTGAGCACTTTGCATCCTTGCTCTGGCAGTTAAGTGGTTCTTCCTCCTCAGAACAGGTAAGTATTCCAGGTATAAATTTGCCTTTTCTGTCCACACAGCACATGTATGTTTACAGAGGGTCTCTTCATTGCCATGGCAGACCGCGTAACATCACCAATGAAACCAAAATTTCAGGTGTTCTCCTAGATTTCTTAATGACCTAGAAAAACGTGCTTCTACTGGAGGTGAATGTTTAAATAGCAATGTACAATCCACACAAAAATACACCCACGACTCTCCAGTCAGTCAGTCATATTTTCTCATAGTCACGGCTGTAATCCACTCAGGACCAACAGAATGGAAATAAGAGGCCAAAACGTAAGTGTCAGAGGACATCCAGTGTTAACAAAGGGTGACTCATCAAAAAGAGAGCTGCCAAGGTTTCTGGACACTCACTTGAATCTGACCTGTCACACCCACCACCTTCAACCACGCCACACAAATTTGAATAAAGCGTAAGTGTCCTCACCATATATACCCAAAAAGGAGCAGAAAACCACTGCAGGCGGGTGAAGTAGCAAACATGGGTATCAGCAGCCAACTGCATACACCTGTTAAAAAGGTAAACCGAGGCACAAGAATTTTAGAATTTTAGAGTTTGAGTGGGTAGTGTTTCATGAATCAGACAACTTCGAACCAGAAGTGGTTTGGGAGCCCCACTCAGGAACCCAAGGGGGAGGCTTTTATGAGACCAACAGGGAGATAAAAGAAAGGAAATGTTTGATTAACTACAGTTACAAGGCTCTATCCAATTGGAAAGTTCCTAGTTATTTAATTATAAGTGAGTTTGATCCTTGTTAAAGTTTGAGCTTAAGTTTTTGTTTTGTTTTTTTTAAACATTTATTTTAGAAACAGGGTCTCACTCTGTCACCCAGACTGGAGTGCAGTGGCACCTTCTTAGCTCACTGCAGCCTCGAGCTCCTGGGCTCAAGCCATCCTTCTGCACCAGCCTCCTGAGTTGCTGGGGTTACAGGTGTGCACCTGTAAAATTAACACAGCTTGCTGATTTTTTTGTTTGTTTTTATGTTTATTTTCTTTTTTTTTTTTTTTAGACAGAGTCTTGCTCTGTCACCCAGCCTGGAGTGCAGTGGTGCGATCTCGGCTCACTGCAAGCTGCACCTCCCGGGTTCATGCCATTCTCTTGCCTCAGCCTCCCAAGTAGCTGGGACAACAAGCGCCCACCACCACGCCCAGCTAATTTTTTGTATTTTTAGTAGAGATGAGGTTTCACCGTGTTAGCCAGGATGGTCTCGATCTCCTGACCTCATGATCTGCCTGTCTTGGCCTGTTTTTATGTTCGTAGAGATGAGGTGTCTCTATGTTGCCCAGGTTGGTCTTGAGTTCCTGGCCTCCCAGCCTCAGCCTCCAAAACTGCTGGGATTACAGAGACGAACTGCCACACTTGGCCAGATTCCTTTTTTCTTTAACACAGAATTAGCCCAAGTTAAGTTTTCCTTGTGTTTCTGAAATCAAGCAGGGTTAGGGTCACGTATGAGGCTTGACCTAATTTGTCTGCTCAGGGATCCTTCAGGCCTGGTTTTCATTTTATTTTCCTTCAACACACCAAGCCCAAGAAGAAGCAGTATTAGGCATTTTTAAAGCAAAATGCAAAAGTGTTCAAATTACTTGGTGATATAAAGTTAAATTTTAAAAGAGTTTAACTCTGGCAGAGCGGTGGCTCACGCCTGTAATCCCAGCACTTTGGGAGGCCGAGGCAGGCAGATCACGAGGTCAGGAGTTCAAGACCAGCCTGAGCAACATGATGAAACCTCGACTCTACCAAAAATGCAAAAATTAGCCAGGCGTGGTGGTGCGTACCTCTAATCCCAGCTACTCAGGAGGCTGAGATGGGAGAATAGCTTGAACCCAAGAGGCAGAGGTTGCAATGAGCCGAGATCAAGCTACTGCACTCCAGCCTGGGTGACAGAGCAAGACACTGTCTCAAAAATAAAAATAAAAATAAAAGCTTTACTCCTACACATTGTTTTTTCCAAAGGGGAAAAATAATTGAATAGACCAAACGAGATAGAAAATTCAAACCTGAGGGTAATAATTTTTCCATAAAAGAAAAGCCCTTTTAAAAACAAAGTTTTTTTTTTTCTTTTAACTCATCTGTATTTGTTACAACTTTAAGCAGAATGTGACTCCAGCACTACATTTCCATCCACAAGACTTGAGTTATTTTTGAACAGCTTTATGATATGCTTAGGTAGGCTTATAACTTTGCTCCTCCAAACAATACTTTTTCTTTGGAAAACAAGCCCTGTGGAGAGTTCCTTCTATCAAGTTGCTTCAGTTTAACCTATTTCTAGAGGACTAGTACATGCAAAATTGGCAACTACAGGGGATGAAAAGTTCAAAAAGTAGATCCTACAAGATGTAACAAATACTTTTCTAAACATCCAGGTATATATAGCTCGAGAACACTTCGATAACAAGATTTGGTCTACTTAGAAATCCGGCTTGAGAGCTAAACACTTTAGAACACAGTTATCATGTTACATACATCTTACCACACACGTTACCCCAATCTGTTAAAATAAACCAATGTGAAACTAAAAAAGCATTACTAGCTCTGCTTTAATGCCTAAGGTACCACAGCATCACTTAGAAATAGACAGAAATCTTATCTTCCCCTTAAAGTAGTTGCTGTCATGCCATACAGACTTTTTAATATTAACAAAAATAAAGAAAAACATCCTTGAAAATATATTATCAGAAGAATTGTAGAGTATTGAACAGGTAAGTCATCCCCTCAGCCGGAGGTTAGTCTACTTCTTCCATGCGTGATGTGTCGTCATCTCCTTCGAGGGGCGGCATTTCTTCAGTTACAGCTGCACTGGTATCATCAGCAGTAGGATCATCTTCATCAATACCCAGACCAAGTTTGATCATCCTGTAGATCCTGTTGGCATGTGTCTGGGGATCTTCCAGACTGAAGCCAGAAGACAGGAGTGCAGTTTCGTAAAGCAAGATGACCAGATCCTTCACAGACTTGTCGTTCTTATCAGCCTCTGCCTTTTGCCTTAAGGTCTCAATAATGGAATGGTCAGGGTTTATCTCCAGGTGTTTCTTTGCTGCCATGTAACCCATTGTTGAGTTGTCTCTTAGGGCTTGAGCTTTCATGATTCTCTCCATGTTTGCTGTCCAGCCGTATGTGCTTGTGACAATACAGCATGGAGATGTCACCAATCGGTTTGACACAACCACCTTTTCAACTTTTTTCTCCAGTATGTCTTTCATGATTTTGCAGAGGTTCTCAAACTTTGTTTTTTTCTCTTCCTGTTTCTTTTTCTCTTCTTCATCCTCTGGAAGTTCCAAGCCCTCTTTGGTGACTGACACTAATGTCTTCCCCTCAAATTCCTTTAGCTGTTGGACACAGTACTCATCAATGGGCTCGATCATATAGATCACTTCTAAGCCATGTTTCCGAAGACGTTCCACAAAGGCTGAGTTAGCTACCTGGTCCTTGGTCTCACCTGTGATGTAATAGATATGTTTCTGGTTTTCCTTCATTCTGGTGCAGTAGTCCTTGAGAGAAACCATCTCATCGCCAGAGGCAGATGTGTAGTACCTTAACAGCTCTGAAAGCTTCTTCCGATTTTGTGAGTCTTCATGTATTCCAAGCTTTATGTTTTTAGAGAACTGCTCATAGAACTTCTTGTAGTTCTCTTTATCTTCCGCCAGTTCAGTAAAGAGTTCTAAGCATTTTTTGACCAAATTCTTCCTGATAACTTTCAAAATTTTGCTTTGCTGCAACATCTCATGGGATATATTTAGAGGGAGATCCTCTGAGTCTACCACCCCTCTAATGAAGTTCAGATATTCAGGGATTAGCTCCTCACAGTTATCCATGATGAAAACTCTGCGTACATACAATTTGATGTTGTTCTTTTTCTTTCTGTTTTCAAACAGGTCAAAAGGAGCACGTCGTGGGACAAATAGAAGGGCTCTGAATTCCAACTGCCCTTCAACTGAAAAATGCTTCACTGCCAAGTGATCTTCCCAGTCATTGGTCAAGCTCTTGTAGAATTCTTTGTACTCCTCATTAGTAATATCGTCGCCATAAAAAAGGATGAGTTTGTGTCCTTTGTAGGGACATGGATGCAGCTGGAAACCATCATTCTCAGCAAACTATCACAAGAACAGAAAACCAAACACCGCATGTTCTCACTCATAGGCGGGAACTGAACAATGAGATCACTTGGACTCGGGAAGGGGAACATCACACACCGGGGCCTATCATGGGGAGGGGGGAGGGGGGAGGGATTGCACTGGGAGTTATACCTGATGTAAATGACGAGTTGATGGGTGCAGCACACCAACATGGCACAAGTATACATATGTAGCAAACCTGCACGTTGTGCACATGTACCCTACAACTTGAAGTTTAATAATAATAAATAAATTTAAAAAAAAAAAAAGAAAAAAAAAAAAAAAAAAAAAAAAAAAGTTTAAAAAACTAGTCATTTTAAAAAAAAAAAAAAAAAGTTTAAAAAACTAGTCATTTCCAATCCATTTTTTCCTTCCATTACACAGCCATTGTGCCTAATCTCTCATTTCCAAAATCTGGTTGCTGAAAAGCCTGATGCCTGCAGCTAAGGTTAGGTTCCTAAGCGCTTCTCAGAAGAGAGTCTGATTTGTTAGGCAGTCTGGCCTTGCATGCTGTACTGGCCGGGGTAGGCTGATACAACAGATAAACTCTGAACTCTCGGGGGTGGGGGGGGTTCACATACTCCAGTTTTCTCACCCCACAGTCTAGAACTTATCAGCAGACAGCCCAGGCCCACCCACTATGCAGAGACTCAGGTTGCCCTTTCTTTGCTGTGTCCAGCGGATGGGGAAGGGAGGACAAGAGGGTTCCTTGTGGAAGGAGCGTGTGGGCTGGGCCTGAAACGGTAACTTTTCTTCAGCCAGAACCCAGGAGGCTGTGGCCACGGTCACTCCCGGCTCACTGGAGGGGAGGCTGGAAAACGGCATCCCCAGGAAGAAGAGAACATGGATTTTGGTGAGCGAAGGCCCCTGCCATGTAGGTGCACAGAATTCAAGGGTGAACCTCTGCAATTCAAATGTCAGAAGGGAGTATCAGAAATCCCTGTAGGTCATACGCACACTGCCTGGTCTCTGGGGGACCCGCAGCATCTCAGTGCCTGACACTGGAAATGCAGACTGGGCCCATCCAGATGCTCTGAAGTCAACTGACATTTGCAGACACAATAAAATGTGAGAGGCACTGCTTGTGCCAATTTAAAGTTGTCTTCAAATAGTTTAGTCTTAGAGTAACTTTCAAGGTCAGTGGAAATAAAAAGACTCCAATTTGAATAAAATTTGCCAGACATTTCCATGCATGTCACCTCAAATTTAACAGTGATTAAAATAATGATTTCATAGCACGATGACGCATGTCAAATTCAGATCCCCTGGTTCCTGTACACATCTCAAGTTCCAAGTCCTAAGAACGATCTTGAAAATTCTGTAAGCACACAAGGAATACGTAAACCTCGGAAGGCATATAAGACAGCCCAGTTTACAGAGAGTTGAGGCGGTTTGAGATGAAATTCAGATCACACTCAGCACTTGCATCACCTACACCAATACATTAGGAAGCCCAGGCAGTAACTGTTACATTGACGACTGACTGGGTGAAAGTCCAGGGTTACTAAGGGACCGGAGCACCTGTGAGTGTGGGCCTAATCTGATTTTCATTCACAGACCAAGCTCTGTTAAGCAGCATTGCCAGGATTGAGGATCTGCATTATTTCTCGAGGGAAAACTTTTCCATCTGTCAAACAACGAGCTCGCTGATGAAATCACTGCCACTGGATCCACAAGATACAGAACATCATGTGCTCCACACGAGAGGCACGGGGAAAAATTATCCCAGAAGGTAAGAGAAAGGTGTTCTGGAACTTCAAATACCTTCCCCAAAGCAGGTTGCTTTTTGCCTTGTTTCTAAATTATCCACCACACATATTCTCTAGAAAAAAAATACAATTCCATACCTTGGGTATTGTAATTCCCCCTTAATAACAAATGTGATAGGGCCAGGCGCCGTGGCTCACACCTGTAATCCCAGCACTTTGGGAGGCCGAGGCAGGCGGATCACGAGGTCAGGAGATCGAGACCATCCTGGCTAACACGGTGAAACCCTGTCTCTACTAAAAATACAAAAAATTAGCCAGGCAAGGTGGTGGGCGCCTGTAGTCCCAGCTACTCGGGAGGCTGAGGCAGGAGAACCCGGGAGGCGGAGCTTGCAGTGAGCCGAGATTGCACCACTGCACTCCAGCCTGGGTGACAGAGCAAGACTTTGTCTCAGAATAAAAAAGGGGGGGGGGGTAAAAAAACACAAATGTGATAGAGAGAAGTCCCACAGCCAGAGTACAAGTAGGTGCAACAGATAATAAATTCTTCCAGGCTGAAGACACATATCAATGGAATCAGTTTTATGATTCTCAGTGCCTCCTTTCCTAGTCGTTTTATTTGTGAACTATCAGGAAAGTAAACACATAAGAAGGAAAAAATGGAAATTCATATTAAAAATCAACCTAGCTAGGGCTAATACCACACACCATGACTCAGGACAAGGGTGCTCAGGGCCTCAGTAAAGCTAAGGTCTTCGATGTGGGGATGTCAGTTATGTCTCTGAGCTCTCAAAAATCTTCAGCAAAAATCATATTGCGTTTAGAACACATGTGACCTGAACTGTTAGGAGCCCAAGCTTGTCACTGGTTCACGGGTGCTCCATGGGGAATGAGAAACAGACTAGCTGATCTCATTCCAAACCTCCTGCAAGCTAGGTGCAAAGAGGCATGTAAATAGTAACCATTTCACCTAAAAACATCATTCAGTGTTTTTTATTTGTTGGGGGAAGTTCCCGCAAAATACTTTTATAATGGATATTATACATTGGTGACATTTTGGCTTCACTCTGTACAAATGAGATGAGGATTTCTCTAATAAGTGAAGAGGCATAAAAATATTTAGCCTGGGCATGGTGGCTTATGGCTATAATCCCAGCACTTTGGAAGGTCAAGAGGGGAGAATCGCTTGAGGCCCGGAGTTCAAGACCAGCCTGGGCAACAACATAGGGAGAACCTGCCTTTACAAAAAGAAAAACAAAAAGAGTTAGCCAGACATGGTAGTGCACACCTCCAGTCCCAACTTCTCAGGAGGCTGAGGCGGGAGGCTCACTTGAGCACAGAAGTGTGAGGCTATCATGAGCTAAGAAGGTACTGCTGCTCTCTAGGCTGGGCCACGAAGCAAGGCTCTGTCTCTAAAATATAAATAAATAATATATTTAGACATATATAAGAGAAGAGAAAGATGCTGAGAGCTGAGAGTTCCATAGTTTTCAAACTGTGTGGGGAGCATCAGGGACAAGCACCAACGGCCGCCTCCGCCTGAGAAGGTCTGCTAAGGATTTCACGGATATGCTCCTTTACAGGGTTGGAAAACTGAACAGAGACGGGTTGGGAACCGGGGGTGCTATTTAAGTTGGCCTCTCTGTCCTTCTGCCAATGTGATGAATGGGCACGGTAACAGCAGAAACCCTGGATGACAAGAAGTAACACACGTTGGGTCCACAGGACAGAGCCTCACACACGGAAAGCACACTATGCACGTTGGACACCGCGGTTACTGCCCCTGCCATTGTTGACTGACAGGGCTAGGCAGCGTTCCAGAAGAAACACACCTTCCCCTGCGGTGTGACTATGGGGCGTGTACCTGACACCTCTGGTACTTTTCTTGGTTCTTTTTACTTTTCTCTCCAAATGTAAAGGTTGGCAGTTGCAAACTCAGACACTAGGTAAAACATACTAGGCACAGAGTTTGGAAATACTAAATTCCTTCACTCATGAAATATGCTATGGAGCTGTCTCATGAAAAAAATACACATGCACACACGTGTACACATACACCAGCCTTAAGAATAATTTTTCCTCCTTTTTGCTTTTGACTTGATGGCTGAGTGGTGGAATTGAAACAGAGGACACCTGAGAACTGCAAAAGAACTGGACACATAGTGACTCCATCCAAACCTCTGCATGAAACTATTTCACCAAACGCCAGTGTGGCTTTTAGCAGCATGAGGCAATGTCCCTGGGACGTTCACAGCCACCCCTTAAAATACCTGCAAGTGAAAATTCAATGCTTCCAGCATTTATTTGTCCCAACAAAAATGTAGTATTTGTTCCAGCCAAAACCTAGTGATACGCAGAGAGGCCCCCAAACCTCACCATGGGGCAGTTACTTTAGAAAGCTTGCAATTCTTCATCTGCCCTTGAGAATGCAAATCTTCTATCACCCAGAACTGTCTCTGCAAGGACCTGGAAGCCATCTCTTTGAAATGGCAACTTCTAGGGAATGCCTTTGCCCTGGCTTTGCTCCCAGTCACCAGGGGAGAGGATGGCCTGACAGCTGAGTGGAGGAGAGGACAGCCCTCCCTCTAACCTGCCCCACTGCCTCCTGTCAGGAGGACATGAGGAGTTTGCTTCTCCTCCAGATGAGCCCCAATTAGTATGCCCAGGTGGCCTAGACACATGGACCGACCCTCCTTAACACCCTCAGTGCCTTTCCCTGAGCATGGCCTTTACGTATCCCCTGCCTTCGTTTTGGTGATGATGAGCTTAGTTCACACTGGACCCTCTTCCCTACTGTGATAGTTATTACTCTACTGTGATAGTTATTACTCAGTAAAGTCTGTCCTTTTTGCTTTGTGTCTGGCTTTATCTTTGACAAACCTAGACTATAAAATCATCGTAATCATCATAAATGTGGCATCCTTCAAATTTTTGCTATAAACAACTTTTTTTTTTTTCTGAGACAGAGTCTCACTCTGTCACCCAGACTGAAGTGCAAAGGCAGGATCTCGGCACACTGCAACCTCCACCTCCCAGGTTGTTCAAGCGATTCTCCCACTTCAGCCTCCTGAGTAGCTGGGATTACAGGCATGCACCATCACGCCTGGGTAATTTTTGTATTTTTAGTAAAGAAGGGGTTTCATCATGTTGCCCAGGCTGGTCTTGAACTCCTGACCTCAAGTGATCCGCCCACCCCGGCCTA